CGCAGCATTGCTGTGGCACAGTGTGCAAAGCAGCCCAGCAATGTCTTCCTGAATGACTGACTCATGCTCTGCCTTCAGAGCCAGGGTCTGTGCTTTCTCAGAGCCTCTGCACTCTAGGTTTTGAATTCTTAGAACTCATGAAATCGTATGTTTATATGTTTGTTTCTAACGTCAATTTATTCATTTTGAAAGATTTATAGGGACAGAGGGAGAGATAAGAGAGAAAGAGATCTTCCATCTGCTGGTTCGCTCTCCAGAGGGCCACAACTGCCAGTGCTAGGCCAAGCCAAAGTCAAGACCTTCTTCTGCATCTCCCACCTGGGTAGCCGGGCTCAAGTAGTAGAAGCCATCCTCTACTGCTTTTTCTGGGTCACTATCAAGGAGCATCTAGAACACGCACCGGTGCCGTTAGGGAATGCTGGCATCACAGGTAGTGGCTTTACCCACTCGACCACAGCACGAGCCCCAGAGAGCCTTGCTTTAGAGGTCTCTACTGAATAGTTTTCTCTCATTGCTTGGGGAACTGTGCTGTACAAGTCAGAAACAAGCACTGACTCTTTGTTCACAGTTGGAGGAGCCACAGATCTGGAGAAATTGTGGGTGACTCAAATAGGAGGCTGGCAGAGGGCCTGTTTGGTGTCTTATAGCTATACTTGCTCAGACTTAGAGCCTGTTACTCGCTTCAAATCCCATTCCTTCATTATCCAGGGGGGAGACTAAGGCACTGGAAGAGGCATGGCGGTCCCGGAGGGCAGCGGCAGCAGCACAGCTCGGGAAGCACACGGGCCTGCTTGCTCTGCCTGGAGCTGGCTGCTGTCCACCTGCAGCCTGTGGACGGCTTGTTGGCAGACAAGATGCCAGATGCTGTGTGTTCTGTAACAACAAAGGTGTTGGTGGAGGAAAGCAGAAAATAGAGTGCTCAGACTGACTGGCAGGGAAACAATACGTGGGAAGAGAGACTGGGGATTGGACCATGTGGGGAAGAGAGGGGGAAGGAGGAGTCCTAGTAAGTCCAAGGCCAGAGGGCCCAGGTGCCTAGGGAGGGAACCCTGCGAAGCCAGGAGGAGCTGAGGGCATGGAGTCCACACAGACGCTGCTCTCATTTGTTCCATGGGAAATCAAGTGTGCAACTGGATTTCCGGGCAGAACCCTTGCCAGCACTGACAACATTTTTTTTTAAAGATTTATTTTAGGGCCCGGCGCGATGGCGCAGTAGTTAAGGTCCTCGCCTTGCACGCCCGGGATCCCATATGGGCACCAGTTCTAATCCCGGCAGCCCCGCTTCCCATCCAGCTCCCTGCCTGTGGCCCGGTTTGGGACCCTGCACCCGTGTGGGAGACCCGGAAGAGGCTCCTGGCTTCGGTTCGGCATAGCACCGGCCGTTGTGCTCACTTAGGGAGTGAATCATCGGACGGAAGATCTTCCTCTCTGTCTCTCCTCTCTGTGTATCCGCCTTTCCAATAAAAAAATAATAAAAATAAATCTTAAAAAAAGATTTATTTTTATTTTTTAAAGATTTATTTTTATTATAAAAATAAAGGAAGCAAGGAAGCAAGGAGGAAGCAAGGAGGAGGAGGGGGAGACATGGGAGAGAAGAACAGGTGGCTTGGGTTCCACAGGGTGACAACCCTGCTGGCCAGCTGGCCCTGCTGGCCACCACCCACAGCTCCTGGGTCCCTGCTCGGGGAGGTGCCTTCCTCCTCGTGGGCGTCACTCAGAAGCCCAGTGATGCAACTTGGTTACCTGCGGCAAGGAGCTGCTGCTTTCTAGGTGGGAAGCCAGTGTAGAGCCAGAGGGAGACAAGGGCAGATGGAAAGCTCTGCTCCTGCACTCCCCTCCCCTGCCTCTCCATGGGTGTCCCCCTAGCACCTGTTGCTGCATGCCCCAAGCCTCTTCCAGGGAGATGCCTTAGCGTGGCTCTGGGGCTGAGGTTGCCAAGGCTGTTGGTCGTTCCCTGTACAGCCAGGCCTGGCGGGCAAGCCTCCCTCTCTGGATCCCATCCTGAGCAGTGTCCCTTAGGTACTGTTGGACGCACCACATCCTGCTGAAGATGCTCTTTACAGAGCACTGGCCCTTGGGTGGCAGAGGCTGAGCAAACAGCATCAATGCTTATCTACATAGGTGGCCTCCAGAGCATGCCCTGTGTTCCTTCACTAGGAAGTTCCAACTGATACAGTGAGACACTAGCTGGCCTCCTTCAAGTTCCTTTAGACAGTTGCTTTACCTCTGGGAGTTTTCAACTGAACACTGAGCCCTGGCCCACCTGTATTTAGATCAGTACAATGAGAATCGCAGGTTGGCTTTGGCAGATATGCTTTCTTTTTCATTAGACACCTGTCTCATCCATCATCCAGTGCCAACAGCACTCACTCTAGGCTAGCTTGGCCAAGGCATGAGAAGGTGGTGAAGTACAGTTGCTTTTCTCCCAGCATCTGTTTGGCCTGTGTGTGAGCTTTGTATTTCTTTTTTAAAGATTTATTCATAATTTTTATTGAAAAGGCAGATCAGATTTACAAAGAGAAGGAGAGACATAGAGAAAGATCTTTATCTTCTGGTTCAGTCCCCAAATGGCTGCAATGGCCTAAGATGAGCCGATCTGAAGTCAGGAGCCAGGAACCTCTTCTGGGTCTCCCACATGGGTGCAGGGTCCCAAGGCTTTGGGCTGTCCTCGACTGCTTTCCCAGGCCACAAGCAGGGAGTTGGATGGGAAGTGAAGCTGCCAGGTTCAGAACTGGCGCCCATATGCAATCCTGGTGTGTGTGAGGCGAGGACTTTTGCAGGTAGGCTATCACACCAGGCCTGACAGTGTGTTCTTAAGAAATGAAACCCTAGAGCCAGAGGGGTTTGGAGCCCTGGCCCTGCTCCTCATGGCGAGTCCTGTCTGTGCCTCGTTTTCTTCTCCATGAAGGACAACACTTAGAACTTGCCTGGCAGGCTTGTTGTGAAGATGGCAGCAGCTGCACGGAGCTGTGCTGGGTACATCAGAAGTGTTCAAGAGACAGCTTCGTTTCACTTTGTGCTTTGCAAGTATTTTGCCATCTCTTCCTGTGTATGAAGCTGCTATCAGCGAGTGGCAGAAGGAACCATTGTCGGAGTAACAAACTGCTCCTCCCACACCTGCTAGTGCTTAAGGAAATTCTGTGGCTGTCAGCAAGATTTTTGTTCTTGTTTTTAAATACCTTCTGCTCCCTGACAATGTAGGGCCTGATAGTTGCTTTGACACTAAGGTAGGCTGAAAAGGGGTATGGGATTCCATATTCTCCATCTTTATTCATGGGAGTCCTTGAACTTGTTGAGGGAGAGGGTTTGTGCTGAGGAGTCCAGGACACCAAGATCACAAGCAGCGGCCCAGCACCTTCTGGAAGTGCTAAGGAGAGAGATGCTCATTCTTTGTTTTTCCAGTCTGCTCCCCAGCCCTGATCAGGATCATGGCCAAGCCTAGGCCTCCCCTAGGTTGGCAAGCACATAGAGCCTTTTGTTTTACAAGCCAGTCAATGCACAAAGAGGAAGGAAATGTGCACGAGATGATTGCACAAATAAAATCCGACCAGCACGGTTGAGAATTGTTTGTGTTCTTGCAGGGCAGTGAGTTCTGTGTCCGTTCTTCCATTCATGTCGCTGCGGCAGCAGGCAGCAGGGGTGGTGCCTGATACCCTGGCTGGTGTTTGAACCGGGAGCTTCCTTTGGATCCTGTGACCGCTGGTTCCAGGGTCAGACACATGTTGTGCCTGTCAGTACTTTTGCCAGTAGATGCTGAATTCATAGCAGACCCAAGCTTGGCAGGGCTGGAAGGCACACAGCAAACCTCATCAAAGAAAGTGGGGTGGGAGTTCACAGTGGCTTCTGGGAATTTCAGGAGCTCCTGGAAGGAGTTGCTTCATGTCCATTCCTTCTTAGTGGGAAGAGAGGACTCTAGAAAGACAGAACTGTCACCTAAATACCACAACGCTTCGATTTGCCTTGTACTGCCGTCCACCATAGCAGTGCTTTCTATTATGGCTAATTGCTGAGGTGCTAATGAGTTCTCTGAAGACCTGCACCTGAGGAACTAGCTTATAACAAAGCATTTATTCCACTCTACTTTCTGCTGGGAAAAGAGTTGCCCCTTTAAATGTAGCTCATAGAGCTTTGGCACGGGCCAAGAACCATCCACTAAGAGAGCCCAGAATCAGAAAACTCTTTCCATAAACACTGCGGGTCCTGCAGATTTCCTGCCTCCTGCCCTTCCGTGACTCCTGGCGCTGGGGCTGTGCAGTGCAGGGGCTCATTCGTGGGGAGGGTTGGAACACATTCCCCCCTGGTACAACCTCCAACTTCCTACCTGTGTCCTATTGTTCTCATTGGCCTCTAAGTTAGGCCTCCCCAAGCACCATGACAATGGCCCCAAGAATTGAAGCCAAGAAGCCCAAGAGGGACCAGATGGCTTTTTCTGTTGCTGGTGCCAAAATTGTGGCATTTCCCTGAATGTAAGGGCTTTACCCAGATGCTGGAAAATTATTACACGAGAAAGAAGTGAGTCTTCTATTCAGAAAGACTAGCTGGTTGCTTTGGGAGACTGTGTCTTCACATTGTTCTTGAGTGAGTGGCCTCCAATAAGGGCTGAGAGCCCATCTCCACAAGAGGCCAAAGGAGCATTTTGAGGTCCAGGTGGACCCTGGCATGTTCCTTGGTGAGGAAACCTGCTGGGGGACGTGCTCTCTCCTGTAGGAAGTGGAACATGCGCTCTGAATTTCCTGTATCCATTTGAAGCTTCCCACAGGGTCTCTTGTTGAAAATCTGTGAAACACTGCTGTGAGTGACAAGGCATGGCCTGTCTTAGAGCATGTCAAATGTTTGAATCACTTGAGTACATAAGTTTAAATGAGTGCATTGAAACTTGTAAGCCAGGAAGAGACAAGTGCGTGGAGGAATGGCTCCCTGTGAAAGCGGGGACTTGTTTCATTCTAGGCTCTGCACTAAAGCGTTCCCGCTGCTGAAGGAATCTTTGTATTCAATTGCAGTTTACACAGGAACTTCTTGAGGGAACTGAGCAACTCGGCACCCCAGTGGGCACAGAGGCCAGCAACTTCTGACTCAGGCAGAGTGGGTGAGTGGACACCACTGACAATGGGAAACACTCCAGGGTCATGTGCCACCTCTTAGGCACCAGTCCCATAACTGCTCTCTTGTGGATATTAGGTGGAGAAATAAAGAAGCAAGTTGTCAGAAATCTAATGATTGAGACTTACTTTTCCAGAAGAAATTCTAGCCCAGAGACAGGTTAAATACAACCCAGGAGTATGTGACTTCCAAAAGGAACCACAGGATGATGTTAAATAAAGGCTCAGTAGAAAAGCAGCCACAGACAAGCGGTCAGAGAATCGGCATGATTATGTTCCAATAAAACTTTATTTATGGACACTAAGAAATTTTACATAAATTTCATATATCATGAAATATGACTCCTGTCCATCTTTTCAACTCTTAAAAATATAAATGTCATTCTCATAAACCGTATACAAACAGTTGAGGACAGTGGGGTCAGCTCCTGGTGGACAATAAAATGGTATAAAGCAATCACCAGAATACAAAGCCTGAGAAAAGTGGGTTATGATCAAGACTACACATACAGCTCACATTGTGCGAAACAATAGATGCAGCATTTAAGGACTGTGCAGGCAAGGGCCGAGTGTACCACTTCCATCACAGTGTGTTCCCACTCCCTTCCCTCTGCCATACACGTACCCTACCTTAAGATCATATGTAGTCTACCATCCTGCTTCTCAAAGTGCGGTCCTTTGACCAACATCCCTAAGAGCTTGTTGGAACTGTGTGTTCTCAGCCTCTACCTTGATACACTGAATCGGAAGCTTAGAGGAGTAGGGACACAATGACTCCTGTGATTCTCAGCAGCATTCAAGTTTGATGCAGAAGCTGGCTGACTTCTGCGTCTTTTCAGCTGGGTCATTCTGGGTAGGGCTGAGAATTTACCTGGGAAAGAAAGGAATATTTAAAACCAGCTATTGTGGCTTCTGCTTTATACAGGAGGTTTCTTAATCCTAGACCTCTTCATTCTGTTGACTGTAGCAGGAAGATGGGAAAAGGAGAGGAGTGAAGTGATGTTCCACTGCTCTGGACACTCGCTCAACAACAAGAAGAGCCTGAGGTTCTGGGGGGCTAAGTCGAGTTTGTAAGATGGGCAGTGGACAGGAGTTTCTCTCCCTCCCACAAGAGCATGGGACCGTCCCGACAGAAAGTGGGTGAGGGATGCCCGATGTTGGAGAAACTGGTCAGGGTGACGTGCCACCTCAAGGCCAAGTCTCTCCATTGTTTTTAAGCTTCATTGAAGTTGGCATCACCACAAAGCTACTGGGTGAATGCATTTGGATTGAAATCACAGGGGAGAGCCATTTCCAGGTGCCAGAGTTATGTGAAGGAATGTAGACAGACAGATAGATAGATAAACGAAAGAAAGAAAAAGGAAATGCAGAACCAGCAGGAATCAAAGTGAAAAATGTGTGAATTATGACACATGGAATCTGGCAGTTAGTAGCTCTTTCATGATTGGTAACATGATCAATGTAATGGTTATTGAATGTTGTTTTATAAATGGCCAAATTTGTGTTGATAAAAAATTCTACTTTTTATCAATGCAAACATGATGGAAAATTTTGCTCCCTCTTGGCAAAGTGTTTCTCTTAGTCAATTGTGATCCTAAATAGTGGCTCTGTGGATGATGATGTCATAACCCAAGCAGGGCTACTCACCATGGAGTAGCCTGTCTGGAAACTCCTGGCTTGCAGGAGATCGCATGTGATTAAGATATTTACTCTCTAACTTGGCTTTGGTCATGGTATCAGGGAGAGAGAGGAGGATGGGTGGGTCACAAGTCTCTTGAGCAGCCTCCAACCCACGGGTACACCTCCTGTGTGGGCCTGGCGATGTATTCAGTCCAAGGGGAGGGCCTGGGACCACATTGTCTTGGTTTCTCATTGTGGTCCCAAAGGGAAGAAGGAAGCCCAAGTATCAATGCCTAAGCCAGAAGACCTTGGTATTGGAGGTCTTCATCCTCCTCCGCCCTTTGGAGGCCTCGAAAGGGATCCTCCGACAATTGACTCAACCTGTAGGGGAAGGAGGCCATAGTCTGTAAGGGAGGGGGAAATAGGTTCAGGCCTGAGGCTTGGGGAAGGCTCTGAGTTGAAACTGATGATCGGGGCTGAGGCCTCAGCAGCTCAGCAGGCTGACCCCACAGGGCAGGCTAAAGGCTCAGGAACCCAGGACCTCGGATCATTAAGACCCCATAGTAGGCCACAGAAGCTCCTTGCTAGTGACTGCCCTGTCCTCCTTCAGCTACTTCACAATTGTCTTGTGACTTAGTGCTGTGCTGGAGCTGGGCAGGTGAGAACTCCTGCCTTCAGGGTCTGCTTGTTCCCTGTTACCTCTGTGCAGATCTGACCCAGGGATGTTTTCAGTGGCCACGTGCAGTGTGTCTGGGTTCAGAACAGGACAGAGCATGAGATCTGAAAACAAGACTCCACACCTAAGGCTTTATTTTGAGTTTCTTTCCCCTGTTCCATTTTTGGCACTGTGGACATCCCTGCAGAGTGAGTTTCAATAGAGGTGCATTCTTAGAGGAAACACCCCACTGCCTTGCCCGAGGCTGAGCTCTTAGGCCAAAGCACACAGAGTTCTGGGTACTGTGATGGCACAGCAGTCGTCTCCCATCCCTTTGTCACAGGGTGTCTCCTGGACAAGCACCTGTTAGCCAGATGAATGACCACCCTGGGCCCTGTGGGTATGGGCATCTAGCAGAGATGCTGGGGGCTTCAGACTTGAACACAGTACCCTTGGAATCAAGCAAGGGCGACACCCAGCCACTTCCAGTGTTGGTATACAGCTGGCTGTTATTTCCCTGGCATTTTTTATTAGCGAAAGAGGTCAAGTTAGGAAAAGATTGTTTTAAGTTTTCTAACAGAAGGGACCTTGTCTATTTAATTCCCTGCTGAGTTACCCTCGCCCATACTAGTGTGTGTCTCATGGAAGATGCTCAAATATCTGTTGATGTTGGGCATGCTGGAAATCCTACTTTTAAAAGGAAACCAGCTCATTTTATAAAGACAGGGTAAACTGCTTACCACCCAGGCAGCAGGGCGCAACAATCTATTCTGAAAATTCATTTCCTCTAAATTAAGTCACTCAGTTCTGTCAAGCACCTACTGAGTGTTTAACCCTGTGGTAGAAGTAGAACTGCAACAAAAGCAGGCAGCTAACTTGGGCTAGAAAATCAGTCATGAATCCTGTTCTGGCTGTAATTCCTCTCCAACTTGATCACACGCTAATCTCTCTTGAACATTGATTTCAGCTCCATTCAAATGCTGTCATTGCTTTCTAGACTGTAGTACAATGTTTTAGGAATCAGAAAAGCCTGGGTTCAAATCCTACCTCTGTCATTTCTTAACAATATATCTTAGGTGAGTTGCTTTAATGTTCTCAGCATTAGTTTCTTATCTATAAAATGGAGAGAATAATAGTATCTCGCAGGTCTGGATACGAGGAAAAAAATGAAAAGATGTACATAATTTCAGATTTTTTCTGTCATGTCCATGGCATTCCTCAAGAGTCCTGTAGCAGGGTGTGTCTTTGATAGCTTTTAGCTATTCATATTGCTTTTTTTTTTTTTTTGGTCTTCTCCACCTGGAATGTTCCTTGCACCATAGCCTAATTCCTCATTCATTCACGAAGGCTCAAATGTAGCTCTCGCCCTACTCCTGTAGAATGAAACATCACTAGACATTTTCTGTCCTAGCAGTACCTCTCCAGGGTTTCCATGGTAACTGGTTTGCTCTGCATCCTCATTCCCAGTCTCCATGGCAGCCCCTCCTGTAGGCTGAAAGGCCCTTGAAGTCATGACACCTTTCCTCCCAACACACACAGCTTTTGATCACACAGTTGCTGAGTAACTGAAGGGAAAAGTAGTATGTCATTTAGGGACAGGATATTGATGTGGTTGATTGACCTTGAGGTCAGAGGAAGAGGGTAAGTGTGTGGTATCTGAGCCCAGGAGGCAGACGGGCACTCTGACGAGAGGGGCAGTGGAGCTCTGTGGGTGGCACTCATTGGAGTCGGGATGTTTATGTCCAGGAGGTTCACATATTGCAGTCCTAATCCCCAGGTGATGCATTGCAAGGTGTGGCCTGTGTGAGGTGATTAGACTGCGAGGATGGAATCCTTGTGTGTGATATTAATGCCCTAACAAGAGAGTTCCAAGAGAGCTAGCTGACCTCTTCCCCCGGGGGCATACCTGGTGTACAGGCATGTCTGTGAGCTTGGTGTCTCCACCTTGAGCTTCTCAGCTTTCATAACCATGATATAGAAGTCTACACTGTTGAATTTATCTGGACAATAAGATGCTGGACTCTATGCTTGGTATACGCTGGCAATGAAAGAATCATGACTGAATTTGAAATGTAATGCAGCAATAAGGTGGAGGAATCCACCATGGGGGAAGGGTATGGGGAGGGGTTGGGGGACTGCCAGAGCCTATGAAACTGTGTCACATAATGCAATGTAATTAATAATATATATATATTATATATAAAAAAGAAGTCTCTTCTTCTTCTTCTTTTTAAGTATTTGTTTTACTTGAACATCAGAACTACAGAGAGAGGTAGAGTCAAAGATCTTCCATCTATTGGTTCAATCCCCAAATGGCTCGTAGGGCCAGAGCTGGGAACCAGGATCTGCTTCTGGTCTCCTATGTGGGTGCAGGGGCCCAGGCACTTGAGCCATCCTCGGCAGCCTTCCCAGGCCATCAGCAGGGGGAATAGGATTGGAATTAAAACATCTGGAACTTGAACTGGTGCCCAGGTGGGATGCTGGAGCCACAGGCAGAGGCTTAGTCTGATTTGCCATGGCACTGGTCCCAAATTCTATTTTTTATAGGCCAGGCACTATTTGATATTTTATTGTAGTACCTGAATGGACTAAGGCAACCTTGTTGTATTATTTCTAATATATTATTAAGTCACTCTGCTTAAGGCATGCTGAATTTGAGTGTTTATGAATGGTTATTTAACGTGAAATTTCCCAAGGCTCTAGGAGCTTAGG